GTGGGGGCAGAGGCTCTGAGGGAGGCCGTGTCCACCTGTCCCTTCGGGGTGGGGTAGAGGCTCTGAGGGAGGCCGTGTCCACCTGTCCCTTCGGGGTGGGGGACGGTGGCTCTGGGGGAGGGAGGCCGTGTCCACCTGTCCCTTCACGGTGGGGGCAGAGGCTCTGAGGGAGGCCGTGTCCACCTGTCCCTTCGGAGTGGGGGTAGAGGCTCTGAGGGAGGCCGTGTCCACCTGTCCCTTCGGGGTGGGGGATGGTGGCTCTGGGGGAGGGAGGCCGTGTCCACCTGTCCCTTCACGGTGGGGGCAGAGGCTCTGAGGGAGGCTGTGTCCACCTGTCCCTTCACGGTGGGGGCAGAGGCTCTGAGGGAGGCCGTGTCCACCTGCCCCTTCGGGGTCGGGCAAGACCGTGACCCTGCCGTCTCTGCAGACATCATGGTGCTCATCGCCTCCATTGCCGTCCTGGCCGCGGGCTCACAGGGCAATGTCTTCGCCACGTCTGCGCTCCGGAGCCTGCGCTTCCTGCAGATCCTGCGCATGATCCGCATGGACCGGAGGGGGGGCACCTGGAAACTGCTGGGCTCTGTGGTCTACGCGCACAGCAAGGTGAGTGACGCAGGCTGCAGGGCCCAGCCTGCCCCAAGGCCGCTGCCACCTGAGTCCTTCCTGGGTCCCTCTGCCCTGGGCCCGCTGCAGGGCTCCTGGCCTGGGAGGAAGGGCCAAGGGCTGGGCCGCTCAGGTGTGGAGCAGCCCCCTCCCCTTCCGTCTTGGGGTTTCTCTCTGTGACTCCACCTGATTTTGTCATCTGCCCCTGGAAAGCTGCTTTCCTGCATGGCCAGTCGGCTGGGCCCCTCCTGGAGCCGCTGGCTCTGTGGTTGGTGTCTCATTTCCTGGTTTTGAGCGCCTGGATCAATACACGGCTGGAGTCACCTGCCGGCTGGCTGTTTCAGCTGTGGCTTGCGTGGCTGTGGGGTGGCTGCAGCCACGTGCCTGTGTTTCTGGGGCCTGAGGCCCCTAGTGGCCTGTGTGGCTGGGTTACCTGCCTAAGTGGTCCCTTCCTGTCTTCCTACCTGCCAGAGCCCTGCGGGGCCGTGACAGCTGAGGGGCAGGAGTCAGGCCCTGGGGGAGGTGGGCTCCCTATTGCCCGGCCCCTGCTTCCTCCCTGAGTGTTGGGTGGTGAGATGCAGCTGGGTGGGCCAGCCTCCCCTGTGAGCTGTCTGGAGGGCTTTCTCCAGGCCTGCCTGGGTTGGCAGACACCCAAGACCTGGGTGAGTGCTAGCCCACTGGCCAGGGCTGCTGTTCTTCCAGGTCTCCATGTGCAGATGCAGGGCAGTGCCGGTCTGCCTTGGGGGTCAACCCCAAACTCGGTAGATGCAGAGACTAGTAGGCTCCTGGGCTGGACGCTGGCCAGGCTAGCTGAGCACTGCAGTGATGTGGCCCGTCTTCCCTGCAGGAGCTGGTCACTGCCTGGTACATTGGCTTTCTCTGCCTCATCCTGGCCTCATTCCTGGTATACCTGGCCGAGAAGGGTGAGAATGACCACTTCGACACCTACGCAGACGCACTCTGGTGGGGCCTGGTGAGTCCCAGCCTGTGGACCTTGGGTCAGCGTTGCTTCCCTGAGGGCGCACRACTACCTCCTCACATCCTCCTGCCCAGTCCAGAGGCTGCGCCTACCCTCAGGGTCTGCAGGGGAGACCCATCTGCCCTTGAAGAGTAGGCTGGCCACATCTCTTGGGGGCCACCTGTGGCTGCCCATGGACAGCCTGTGGAGGTGGTGGCAGAGGTTGGGGGTGGCTGTGGATGTGCTGGCGTGTGCACTTGCACATATGTGTGTGGTGTGTATGTATGCGTGTGTGTGCACGTGTGTATGTACATTCATATGTGAGCATGTGCATGTGTATAACATACATGTTTACACTGTGTGTGCACAGGTGTATAATGAGTGTGTAATGAGTGTGTTTGTATGTGTGCATGTGCAGTGTGTGCTGTGTATGTATGTGTGTGTGTGCGGGTGCACGTGTGTATGTACATTCATATGTGAGCATGTGCATGTGTATAACATACATGTTTACACTGTGTGTGCACAGGTGTATAATGAGTGTGTAGTGAGTGTGTTTGTATGTGTGCATGTGCAGTGTGTGTTGTGTGTGTGCAGATATACATGTGCACATATGTGTGCAGCATATGTGTGCAGCATATATGTAAGTGATGCGTATGTTTGCACGTATATGAGTGTAATGTGTGTATGTGTGCAGTGTGTATGTGTTTGTATGTGTGTATACATGTGCATGCATTCACCTGTGTAATGTGTGTGCATGTGTGTGCTTGTGTATGCACATGTGCTTGTGTAATGTGTGTGTATGTATGTGCATGAGTCATGTGTGTGTGTGTGTGGTGTGTGTGTGTGTGTGTGTGTGCATGCACCAGCACTGGGAAGAGCTGGGCTCTCTGCCCACTGACAGCTCACCTGCTCTTTACCTGTGTGCCGGGGTGCGTGGGAGGAGAGAGGATGGGGGTTCTGAGAGCCCTGGACAGGTGGGGCTGTCTTGAGGCTCCCAGATCAGGGGCCAAACCCATGACCTTTCATCCATTTGGGGTAGGGTTGGAGGCTTGCCTCCCAGGGTCAGGTGCACTGTCCCAGGACACCCCTTTCTGGACTCGCAACCTGGCCCTGCCCCCGATGGTGAAAGGGACACTGCTCTCTGTGGCCTCCCTGGCTCAGCCTTCCAGGCTGCCCTGTGCAGGGTGGTGTGGACCCTGGGGATGGTGGTCCTGCTTGCATGGCCACCCCTCCCCAGGGCCACCCTCCTGGTCCCACTGCTGCTCTGGTGCCCAGACTGCTGTTCCGCACTGTCCATAGCCCCCGGCCTCTCTCCATCTGTCCCTCCACTYGTGCTTTTCTGTCACCTTTCACTGCCACGTAGCCACGTTTTTGGGGAGTGGCAATAAATAAGTCTTGGTATGTTAAACAGCTGCACGTGAGGCCCAAGTCTGTGGCAAAGCCTCAACTGGGCGGGTTTGTGGTGGGCAGTGTCCCCCTGGCCCACCTGTTCCCTGCACCAGCTTCCCAGTGCCCTTGGTGTCCAGAACCTCCTCTGCAGGTCCTGCAGCTGGCTGTGAGGTGCGCTTGCTCTCACTGCTCTGCACCCTCACCAGGGCCACAGCCTCCTTGGCCACCTGGGCTGCTGTCCCTGACCTCAGACTGCCCAGTTTGCTCTTTTGCCTGGGGCAGATGCCTGGAGCCTGGGCCCCTGGGCCCCGTGAAGGCGCCACCCTCTCAGGGTGGGAGGGGCCCRCCCCTGGTTCCATTTAGGGATGTCCTCTGTTGGCCCCTGTGGTCCTGGTGGCAGGGTTGTCCGGTTACCTGCAAGCACCTCCTGCCCTGGCCCCCGGTCACCAGGCTTCCCTCAGGGTGCTGTCATGAGGGGCCACTCCCGCTGCCCGGGCCTTACTGGGTGGGTGCCGAGGCAGCAGAAGCCCCTTGTTGGTCCAGCTGGTTCTGAGTAGTCCCCCGGGGTGTAAAGGAGCCTTTGGSTGAGTCCCCAAGTGCTCAGTAGCCCAGGGTGGGGGGCTCCATGGCAGCCACTGCCTGCCTGGCGAACTGACCCAGCCCCTGCCCGACAGATCACCCTGACCACCATTGGCTACGGGGACAAGTACCCCCAGACCTGGAACGGGAGGCTCCTGGCAGCAACCTTCACTCTCATCGGTGTCTCCTTCTTCGCCCTTCCTGCGGTAAACCTCCCCGTCTTCCTGTGGGGAGGGGCCAGGCTCCCCAGGACCCTTGACAACAGGCCACCCTGTGGGGACCTCACCCCGGGCTGCAGTGGAGGCTGCCCTGGCTAGGACCCCGTGACCCTGAGCTGGCAGCCTCCCTGTCGTGCGCTCCGGGGTCCCATGCTGTGACTTTGACCAGCTCTATGGTCACTGTGACTTCTGTCCAAACATCTGGATAGAGAGGTCCTTGGGACCCACAGCACGGCAGCATGGTGACAGCTCCCCTGTCAGGGCTCCCTGGGCTCCAGGCCCACCCCAGGCAGAGGGGTGGGGGCTCTGCTGAGCCTTCACAGCACCAGGGTGGGCAGTGGCCAGTGGCATGGGCTGTCCTTTGGCTTTGGTGTGGGCATGCTGTGCCTCCTGTCGGCCAGTGTGTTTCTTGGCCCCAAACAGAAGGCTAGCCCAGCCTGGTCTCCAGCTGGTTTGGGGTTGGGAGATGGAGGGTGGGACTCTGTGGGCCGGCGGGAGCAGCGGGGTTCCCCTGGGTGTCGGCCGTGGGTTGGGGGTGTAGGCCCACAGGCCTGTTCTGACCCTGGTGACTTGCAGGGCATTCTGGGGTCTGGCTTTGCCCTGAAAGTGCAAGAACAGCATCGGCAGAAGCACTTTGAGAAGAGGCGGAACCCGGCCGCGGGCCTGATCCAGGTGGGTCTCAGCCTCCCACCTTGGGGACTAGGGACAGCCCCTGTTCTGGCCCTTCTGGTGCCGAGTGGAGCCTGCTCAGGGCGAGCCTGGGGGTGGCTGTCCCCAGGACAGGACCACAGTCCCTGTCTCTGCAGGAACATGCGGGGCAACAAGGTGGCCTGGGCCACTGTGAAACGGGTCAGTGCCTGAGGCTGCGCAGCCCAAGGCCCTGTCCCGGGGGTGCTCTGCCAGGCCAGGCTGTCCCAGGCACTGTTCTGCAGCTGTGGGGCCCATGCTTGGTGGGTCGTCACTCAGGTGGCAGGTGGTGTCCCGGCGGTGTCTGTGCACCTCTGAGCCTGAGCTGTGCGCGGCGTGTCCCGAGTGCGGCCAGCCCGTCCCACCACGCAGGGGCAGGTGGGTGTGGCGGCCACCTGGATGTGTGGGCAGAAGGGCAGAGGTTCCTGCTGGACCCTTGGGGTGACGGGAGCTTATGGCCGGCCAGGCGTGGCCTGCCTCTGCTGCTTCCTTCTGTAGATGTGGCTCTCTCTCAGTCCAGCCTGCTTTTACGTGTGTGTGTGTGTGTGTGTGTGTGTGTGTGTGCGCCCAACTTTTACCTCGAAAACTCCACATGGCCATTTTGTTTGTAATTGCAAAAGAAGAACAGACACCCGGAGTCAGCCGCTGCCTGTGACACTTGGCACAGCGGATGTGCACCGGGGCTCAGAGGTCACTCAGGGCAGAGTAAGCAGCCCCCACCTGCTGCTCCTGGAGGTCACTTTAGCAGCCAGAGAACCCCGTGCCAGCAGAGGGCAGCGCCACGCACTGTGCCCCCTGGGTGTGAGAGGTGAGAGGACACTCACCTCTCAGGTTGGCTATCAGGGCTCCCCACGACGCCGGGCTGTTCCCAGGGTCTGATGAGTGGGCACAGGATGGAGGCCCTGGCAGAGCAGCGGGTCAGAGGGTTCTTCCTCTGGGGGAAGCTGACCAGTTGTGGGGACAGGGAGCACCGCCCTCTGAGAGGTGCGTGACCTGGTGACTCCAGCTCCCAGGGAGGAGACGCCCTGGGGAAGCTCTGGAGGAGACCAGGCACTTTGTGCCCGAGGCACAGGGGCTGCTCYTCCGGAAGCCAGCCCGCCGGGCCGCCGTCCCGCTGTCTTCGCCCACGGTGCTGGTTCACTGGGCAGTGTCAAGTGCTAAGTGAAGGGCGCGCCACGTCTGTGGCTGGAGACAGTCCCGTGGGTTGGTCTTGGTGAGACTGGTCACGGACTCGGTGGCATCCCTGCCCCGAGCCCAGGGCCCTGTCTGGAGCTGGAGAGGCTGGTYGTGAGGCTCAGGTGGAATTGCTGTGGACGCCAGCCCCATCAGGCTGGAAGCAGGACAGCCAGACTCGCTGCTGCAGCTGGAAGCTCTCTGCCCTGGTGGGGATGCACAGGTCAGCGGAGCAGTCTGTTGCCCACCCTCTGTCTGAGGGGCTGATCTCCAGCCAGAGCCCCATGTCCACCTGGGCAGGAAGAGTCCTGGCACATGCTACCAGGACAGCTGGTGTCCTGGGGCTGGGCCTTGCTTTTGCAGTGCTGGGCTTGAGCCTGGGCCTTGCATGTGCTGGCCGAGTGCTCTGCTACTCAGCTGTATCCCTGGCTGATTTTTCAAAAATCCATTTTAAAAGAATGGGACTTGTCACTTACCTCACACCATGTACAAAGATCCGTGGAACGGTCATCAGAAACCTGAACGCAGGAGCCAAGGCCACCGCAAGTCCGTGGGACAGTCATGCCCCCTGGCCTGTGCTTCCTGCGACACAGCAGCAAAGCAGGGAAGGGCCAGAGGCCCCTGGAAGCTGTGTGCTGGGTGGGGAGGGCGGGAGACCRTAGTCCAGGGCCCAGCATCCACTGGACACAGCAGGGTCGAAGCCCCAAGGGTCACGAGCAGAGGATTTCCAAGAGGATGAGTGGACGGCCAGCAAGCCAGGTGGCTGGTGGCTAGGAAGGTGCAGGCCTTGCCCGTCCGGGGCCACTCCCCGCCCACAGGGGAGGCTGAGTGCGGGTGGGAGGAGGTGGCCCTTGCCCTCTGCTGGTGGGATGCACAGAGCCACTCCAGGGCTGCCTGGAAGCTTGGCAGAAAGCTGTGGCTCACCCTGCAAGCTACTTCTAGCCACTGGCCAGGAGAACTGAGTCAGCAGGTGGCGTGCCCAAAGCAAGGGCACAGATGAGCACAGAAGCAGTTTACAGTAGCCCCGGGGGCAGACAAACCTGTCAGTGGACAAGCAGGTGGTCAGGAAGTGGTGCTTCCACACAGTAGAATACTGTTCAGCCATCAAAAAGGAACAGTACCCAGGGGCTGGGGCTGGGGCTGGGGCTCAGCGGTAGAGCACTCGCCTGGCACGTGTGAGGCCCTGGGTTCGAACCTCAGCACCACATAAAAATAAATAAATAAAATAAAGGTGTTGTGTCCAACTACCACTAAAAAGTAAATATTAAAGAATAAAGAAAGAAAGGAAGGGAGCAGAGCCTGGGCCTCAACAGGGCCACCTGAGGACGTTTCGCTCAGCAGCCGAAACCACACGGGGAAGCCAGAGTGTGGTCTCACACGAGGCAATGTCCAGAAGGAGTGGGAACCGGTGGCTGTGGGTCCTGGGGAGGGGACGGGAGCAGGCATGTACTGTGGCCCCCGGAAGGTGAAGCAGCTGCGGGGACCAGCAGGTCACACTGGGTGCCACCATAGGAGGAGGTGCAGGGAGCACACCGCTAGGCAGAGGTCAGCCTGGAGGACAGGCCCACAGCCTAGCGCTCAGTGCGCCTTCCTGGTCCCTGTGGTGGCCTGTGATTGCTGGGGTGGGCCGTGAGACACTGCAGGTCACGCCCATCGGCTCAGGAGGGCAGGACAGCCTGGGCCCGCACCGTCCCCCTGTCTAGGAGGGTGGCCGGAGGCGGGTGGGGCGGGCGGCCTGGCCAGAGCGGAGCCGCTGAGCTGGCCTTGCCCCCGCAGTCGGCTTGGAGGTTCTACGCCACCAACCTGTCCCGCACGGACCTGCACTCCACCTGGCAGTACTACGAGCGCACCGTCACCGTGCCCATGTACAGGTACCCGTGCCAGCCCCGCCCCGCGTGCCAGGCGTGGTTTTGATTTCTGTCTGTTCTTAAGCCCCGTTTTCTGTTGCTCATTGTTTTGACGGATTTTTATTTCTCTTTTTCTTTAAAATGTATGCATTTTTCAAAAAAGAACCGTGTGTGGTTTATTTCAAAGCATTTATTTGGTTCCTTGTTTCCGTGTCTCGGCTTTTGTTTTGCACCTCACCCGCCCCTTTGCTTTCTGTCCTCTACTATGTGTCCCCAGTACCACCAGCTGAGTGTTGACCACAGTGCTGGGTGCAGAGTCTTCCATGGGCGGTAGGCCCCAGCTGCAAGATCTGGAGGGTGATGGTGACCCCCAGCAAGGAGCAGGGGTCCTGTGTGAGGGAGGGGAGAGACCCCCAGACCACAGGAGGGCACTTGGGTTAGGAGACCACACTCTCCAGGGGTCCCAGGTGCCCCCAACAGGACAGAGCACAGGACACCCAGGCCTGGGAAGGAGGCAGATGGGCCCCTTGGCCTGCTGGTCAGCTGTCAGGGTAGGATCTGTCTGTGCTGGGCTCTTGCTGGGTTGAGGTCTGGGTGAGAGGTTCTGGGAGCGTAGAGCGTCTGTGCCTCTGGGTGCTGCTGGCTAAGTCCCTCTGCCCCGAGGGCCATCCGGCAGGATGGGGTCCTTCCAGCTTTCTCACCTGCTCCGGGGTGTTTCTGCCCCCCTGCCCACCGGGGTGGGTGCAGAGAGCCTGGTGGGGATCTGGGGCGGGGCTCACCTGAGGGCCCGGCTGCCATGGGTGGCCTGGCCCTGCCCTCACATCCACCCGCTGGTGCCTCTGGAGCTGAGCCCGGGAGCCTGCGCCCTGGACTGCACGCATGCAGCGACCGTGCGCCGTGCCCGGGCCGGGCAGTGGCAGGGCTGGGCCTGGTGCTAATTCTCTCTGTTCTGTTGTCCCCCTCTTCCCCGACTATTTTTTTGTTTTCGTTTTCTTTTTCTTACCCCGTTCTCTCCCACGTTTCGGTTCCTTTCCCCTGTGTGTGTGGAAACTTGAAAGCTCACAAACTCAAACCTACGGGGCCTCCAGGTAGGAACTGCATGGCGGAGCTGTGTGTGTGACGCCTCCCTCCAGTCTGCCGGGCCAGCCCCGGGCGGGGTCCTCACGCAGACACCCTCAGGTCTTGCTCCCTGTGGCCCTCCCTGCCTGGAGCCCAGCCCACCCCTCACCCCTCGCCCTGCCCCCTTGGAGCTGCTTCCTGTTGCTGGCCCCTGTGTCCCTGGCCATCTTTCCTTCTTGTTCTGCTTTGTGCCTTGTCTCATAGCTGTGGTCCCCCGTCCCTGCCCCCACCTGCACCCCACGGCCCTGCTTGTGAACAGAGTTGTGGATGTGGGGCCACCGTGTGGCTTGGGGACTGTGTCAGGGCCAGGAGCGTATCCCAGACAGAACCCYAGGCAGGGGAGGCCACGCACACCAGGACACCTGCCCTGGCAGCCTGCCTCTGGGCTCTCCCCGCCTCCCGGAGCCTCTCAGTTGCAGGGTGGAGTCCAAGGCCTGGGAGCCTCCCTACTGGATCGGTGTGCCCACACCGGATGACCCTGGCTGAGTCTTGGCCCCTGTGGGGTGCTGTGGAGTGACCACAGGAAGCTCCTCCTCACATACGGTGCCAGTGCAAGGGCCCTCCCCTGACAAGTGTGTGGGCCTGGGTGGATGAAACCACGTCCCTGTCCAGCCCCTCTCCAGAGGCCAGCAGGGGCCTGGTCAGTGGGCCCAGATCCCCTCTGTGGACAGAGGCCTGCCCAGGCGTGGGGTTGGGTGAGGAGGTCAAGCTTAAAGAGTGGGGCTGCTGTGCTGGGCAGAGGTGGGTCAGGCCTCAGGGGCATCACCCCCAGTGTCCTCTTCCTGGACCCCTGGGCTCCTTGCTCCCTGGAGCGACGGTGTCCTGTCTCCCTCGGCCCTTGTCTAGCCAGGACTGCACCCAGAAGTAAAATGCACCAGTGTCTGCAGAGCCCTGGCTGGACGGGGTGTCCCCGAAGGCTGGAGGCCCTTGGCCAGCCCATGTGCTCTCCGGGGCGCCCCCACCCCTCCCCAGCACGCAGTGCCCTCATCCTTCATGACTGCTCCCAGCGCCCTGGGCTCTGCCTGGCTCTACCTGCCTACCTGGTGCCCTGCCCCTGGTGTCCCAGGCAAGACACCTCTGGCTCCAAGGTGGTGTCTCCTCTCTTATCTAAGCCTGCATGGGTGGGGGCCCAGGGCACAGTGGTCCCCGGCTCCCTGCTCCAGGCATCAGCGGGGTAGTCAGGGAGGGGTGGGGAGGCAGCTGGGTCCCTGTGGACAGACTCTGCACCCTGCCGCCTCACCTGGTTGGTGGCCCCAGCTTTGGGCAGAGCCACTGGACATTGGTAGCCTGCGGGGGGGACAGGCAGGGGGAGAGCTCGCAGGACCACCCCTCCAGGGCCTGGCTCTGCTGGGGGTACAGGGGCAGCCGGGCCAGGAGCCGAGGGGTTGTAGGGATGGCAGTGTCTGTTGAAGGTTGAGCGGGGGAGGATCTCTGCGTGGAGGAGCCGGGCAGATGTGAAATGAGGGGGTGACTGGTTGGGCCAGTAGGATCCATTGTCCTTTGGCTTTGGGGCCAGGGGAGTCACTTAGTGAGAGAGGCAAGGATGTGGGCCCATCTGGAGGACACACTCGGGTGGGGCTGGGCAGAGCAGGTGGCAGTGGTGGGAGGGTCTGGGTGGGGGTTGGCAGAGCAACCAGGAGGTTCTGGAAGGGTGTCCCCAGCAGACACTGAGGCCAGGTGGGTGTCAGACTGGGTGAGGGCTGGGCAGGGAGGTTAGTCCTGCTCTGCCACTGAGGACCAGGAGGACAGAGGTGAGAAGGGGGTGAGGGTTCGGGGCCAGGGTCTCGGAGCTTTGTCGGGGCTCCACGGAGCTGGGGGCTGAGTGAGGGTGTCAAGATCAGGGTGGAGCTGAGTCAGGCCAGGAGTGAGGGGTGTCGGAGGCCAAGAGCCAGGCAGCTGAGGTGGGTGCAGAGGGAGAGGGTCACCCAGATGCGGGGAGGAGCCTCGCCTCCCAGGCCTGAGTGCATTTTCCCCGGTCAGTCTGCAGGACCTGTCCCTGGTTGTTCCGGGGCTCAGGAGTGGCTGGATGTAGGGCTGGCGCGAGGCTGTTGGGCGGTGTGTGGCCAGATCTGGGGAGAGGGGAGCAGAACCGGGTCACTTGCAAAAGTTCCCAGGGCTTGTCCCCTGGCTGTCCAGGCCACTCATCTTCAGACCTAGAGATGAGCTTCTCTGACCAGGAAAGCCCTGCAGTGGCCTTGGCTCCTGCCCTGCCCCAGCTTCCACAGGGAACGTGGCTCTGCGGCAGGACTTGAGGGCCTGAATGTGCTGGGGTGCAGACGTGCAGCCGGCTGCCCCTGGCGGGAGGGCGAGGAGGAGGACCCTCACCTGGGCCTGTTCTCTTGACCCCTCCACGCTGCAGTGCTGGACTCTCACAGACAGCCTGGCACCTTCCCCTCTGCTGTTCATGTTGGGCACTGCCCATCTCCAGGTCACGAGGCCCCAGGGACAGCTACAGAGTGAAGGTAGTACTGGGGCCTAGAGAGGTGGAGACACAGAGCCCTTGGAGATCTGGCCACACCCCACATCTCTGGCATTTGCACCTGTTTGGGGTGCAGGGTTGAGCCTTCCTGGAGGCCAGTGTGGACAGGAAACTCACTCCCATCTCCTCTCCTGCTCAGACTCATCCCACCTCTCAACCAGCTGGAGCTGCTGAGGAACCTCAAAAGCAAATCGGGACTCACCTTCAGGTCAGCTGCAGGTCTCCCAGGCAGGGGCTGGAGCTGTGGGGCAGGACGGGCAGCTTAGGCCTCCTGAGGGTCCCAGCTGCCCTGGCGAGTGGCAGGAAGCCTCCTGGGATGTGCTTGGCCATGGGTCTTGTGATATTGGTGCTTTCTGCTTCTGCTGACCTACTCAGCTCCTGTCCCAGAGAAGATGGGTGGGCATAATGGGAGGGATACAGGGTGAAGTGTGGAGCGTGCATGACTCTGTTCATGGCTGTGCTCGGCACCCAGGTGGAGGCACCTTTAATCACAAGTTCTACTGCTCACTTCTTGCAGTGCTCTGGCACATCACTGATGTGCTGAGGGCCTGTGTGCAGGCCAGCGCCGTCTGTCCTCAGCAGGGCAGTGGGGTGGTGGTGTGTCTTGTGGCAGCCTCTGYTGTGCAGAGGTGGGTTCATGCTTTTGGTCCTGTAAATACGATCCTTAGCATCTGCATCACACCTGGGTTGGCCAAGGGGGCCCAGACTCCAGTGGCATGTCCTGATCACAAGGGGGATATTTGAGGACACAGAGAGGGGCAGACGTGGGCAGAGGCTGAGGTGATGCTGCCATAAGACAAGAATACCCAGAGCCACCGGAGCTGGAGAGGCAGCAGGGACCCCCGTAGAGCCTTCCTTGGAGAGTACAGCTGCCAACCTCAGTGTCTGGCTTCTAACCTCGCAGGCATGAGAGGGTGGCTTCCAATATTCAGCCACCATTGTGCATTCTGTTATGGCAGCTCCACAAACCTGGGGGGGCGGGGCTCTGCTGTGCACCAGAGCAGGGGACAGGTGAGGGGCAGGGGGCTCTGAGGTCCAGCAGAGCGTGTAGGTGACGGGGAAGAGGTCCTAGGTGCAGTAGAGCAGGCCCTGCTCCCTGAAGGTGGTGGGTGGAAGCTGTGCTGAAGGTGGTTCTGGTGAGCAACGTAGGAGAAACTTTGTGTCATTGAGCAATTACTTGTATGTTGTTACATACAAATGGATGTTGCCAGAATTCTGACTGCCTGCAGTGCTTCTGGTGCTGCTCAGAAGGAAGGGAGCAAAGGATGAGTTCCTGCAAACCAAGGAAAGCTGGTTCTCACTGCAGGGTGGCAGAGGCGTGGCTGGGTCTTCTTTTCTGTGGAAGCAGAATCAGTGATGAACTTGGGGACTTGGCCAAAGAGGGTTCCTAGCCAAATGTGGAAGTGCCGCCTGGCTGCTCTGTACTAACAACAGTGAGGCTGGAGAAGAGACGTCCAGGGGGTGCTGCTAAGAGAAGCCAGAACCTGAAGATTTGGGAGTTCCCAGCTATCCAGGGAGCAAGCCTCATAAATCAGGAGGCACTCTGGGCAAGCTTTCCCAGAGCAAAGCCCGCAGGTGAGGCTGGACAACCTGTAAGGAGAGTGGGCGTGTGGCTCGTGGACCCACAGGAAGCCAGGAAGGAGCCCTGAGAGGAGCCAGAGGAGCACTGCCAGCACCCATGAAAGGAACAAAGGCTGCCAGCTGTTGGATCGTCCAGCAGGAGTGCGGCTGCTGCAGTTGCCCAGCTGCAAACCCCAGCTGCCCTTCAGAACAGGGACCTCCCAGAGCTGGGGGAGCCGATGGTGGTTCAGAGCTCGAAGCCCGGACATTACCAGTCACACTTTCACCTTGGGTGCAGGGACCTCTGTTACTTCTCCTTCTGGAACCGAGATGTCTGCTCATGCTGTCTCTCCACTGTAGCTTTTAAGCAGGAGCCTCATTCGGCCATCAGATGGCTCACAGGAGCCTTGCCTACGTGGCTTACGTGGTTTTAGTTGAGACTTGGGACTTCCTATGCTAGTGGCATTTAGATGACATTTTAGATGGGGAGTTGGCACTGCACTGAGCAGAGACCTCAGGGTGGGGATGGGGTGAGTGCACTGAGGACCTAGGTGGATGGGGACTTCTGGGAGCACCCCCAGTAGGATCCTGGCCAGAGCCTGTGATGTGACTCCTCCTGGAGGAGGGTTTTTGTGGAGGTCATCAGTTAAGGGCCCTGAGGTGAGGTTGTCCAGTGAGCCTCAGCTCAAGCATAGCTATCCTTCAGAAAGACGGGAGACACAGGGCACAGAAGAGAGCTCTGGGGGAGCCAGAGGCAGGGACGGAGAGATAAGCCAGGAGCCGAGGGACAAAGGGCCCGGAGCTGAAAGAGGCAGCAAGGCTTCTCGCCTGCACACAGGGAAGGTGCCCTGCCCCTGGCACCTTGGCCTTGGGTCTGTGGCCTCCAGGACCAAGAGAGGAAATGTCTATTGTTTAAGGTCAGGTTTGGGGCAATTTGTTGCAGTATCCTCAGGAAGTGCAGGGGTGACTTGAGCTCCTGGCTGGAGGCTGGGGCCTGCCTGTGGAGCCCAGCACCCTCAGCCTGCTCCAGGTACCTGAGCTTTAGCGTGCCCAGGACTGGGCCTCCTGTGAGGCATGTTGTTCCTGGGGTACCAAGGCCCACCAAGGTGCTCTGGGCTCCTCCTTGAGGACCCCTGGCCAGGCAGGAGCCTGGCCACACCCTCTTCCTTTGCAGCTGCTCGCTAGGCCCAGGTTGTGGCATCTGCACCAGCTGTTCACAGAGGAGCCCCAATACTGCAGGAGACTGGCCTGAGTGCTCTGAGGGGTCACCCCGGAGCCTCTGAGCTCAGTGGGGGGACACCAGAGCCACTGGTCTAATGTTCTGTTTACAACTAACATTACCAGCAGACACATCCACCCCAAATTGAACCACCATGAGCAAGAGGGCCTTGGGAGCAGGACCTGGGGTCAACTGGCCACATCTCTGGCCAGTTCAACCCACCGCTAGAAAACTACATGAAAGAAAAATGGCATYAGCAGCTTTCTTCCGCAAACATTCTCTTTTGGAGATCTGTGAATGCCCAATGGAWGTGCACTCTGGGTGGGAAGGTGGCGGGCCCCTTGGGGTCCCTGCTCCCTCTGACCCTCCCCTGGTCCCCAGGCACTGCTCTCTCGCAGGGCAGGTACTCTCAGGAGGGCAGCATCTCTGTGCCTCCAACCTGTGGGAGGATGGGGCCTGGGCCATGGGGGAGGCCCTTGGGTGGGTGCAGGTCCCCACTCTGGGCACAGGTGCTCTGTGGGGGCCAGTCCGAGGGGGCAACTGCTAACTCTCTTGTTCTCTGTTTGAAGGAAGGAGCCCCAGCCTGAGCCCTCTCCAAGGTCAGTGCCTTCCTGCCTCCAGCTGCCTGGCGTGTCTGCTGCGCGCACCGTCTGGCCTTGCTCCCTCTGTGTGCACCGCGTGTCCTGGGGCAAGGGCTGCTGGGCGGACCCTGTGTGTGCTTTTGTGTGCGACCACGTGACTGCGTGTCCTGGCCCACCCTGAGTCACCCCTTGTTCACAGCCCTCTCCCGGGATTTCAGATGTACTCTGCAGCACTGTGGGCCTGAAGGGCTTCTCTGGTGGGCCTCCAGCCTACCAGTCCTCCTGGGGACCCTGAGGCAGGGTTTTCTAATAGATTATTCCCTCCAAGCACTCAGCCCAGATTTGCAGCTGGTCTGAGCTGAGCCCCAGGTGAAAACTCAGAGTGGGTGGCCCCTCCTGCCACTCTAGACCAGGCATGGAAGAGAAGCCAGGCCAGAAGCTGGTGGAGGGCCTTCAAGTCCAGCCTTGCGGAGGACCTTTCTCCGTGGACAGTCTGGAGCAAGTGGGAGTCCGTTCCTCCTGTCCTGCAGAGGCTGGGCTGGGCTGCTCTCTCCCCATCTCACACCTCCTCGCTGGAGACCCTGACCTCACTGGGTTTTCTTTGCTGAGGTCAAGGTAGCCAAGGGGCATCCAGGTGCTCAGCCTGGCTCCCTCCCTTTGGACTTCTGCTGGCCACTATGGGGCTATTTGGCCAGGAAGTTAGGGCTCATGGGGCCAGTGCTGCAGAGGTAGAGAGAGGCCAGAGCTGGCTGCTGTTTCCTAGTACTTCACAGAACACCACGGGAGCCACCATGCCTCCCTGTGACGTCCCCAGCTCCTCTGAGCCGAGTTGTATCCCCACCCAGTGCCCTGTCCACCCGTTCCTGAGCTCCTCTGAGCTGGAGTGTGTCCCCACCCAGTGCCTCATCCCACCCAGTGGCCCTTCCACACCAGTGCCCTATCCCCACCCAGTGTCCCATCCCCACTCAGTGTCCTGTCCACACATGGTAGAATAAACCCGACACCCAGCCCCCGTGACTAGGATGGATACCTGCCTGGCCCCCTCATGCCCTGCTGGACCACAGGGTGATCCAGCTGGCCGGATGTCCAGGAGCTGCTCTGGTGGGGGAAAGGCAGGACTGGGCCAAACCCCTCCCCTCTGTCCCCTGGAAAAGGAGCTGACCCTTTACCCTCTAAGCCCCACAAGAGGGAGGAATCAGTGGTGCCCTGAACTGGAAACACGGGCAACACTGTTGCCTGATATCCGCTGACAACAACCCTAACAGCCCCCAAAGAGGCCGAGAAAGCTGCCCTTGGAGCCAGAGGGGAGGAGGGTCGGCCCCCGGCGGTGCTGGCTGGTCTGTGGCTGGCGCTGTCGACAGAACAGGGACGAGAAGGGGGTGAAACAGGAAGGGGCACCCCGTTCACGTTGGGCTGCCGTCCAGAGGGCACCGTTCTCACTGTGGCTGTGGCTGGCCTCTCCCACACTGCCCTCCACTGCCCTGGGGCTGGGCATTGGCTGGAGGGGGAGCCCTGCGCAGCCATGGAGGCTGAGGCTGACCCTGGCGGGGAGCGACTGGCCTGGGGCCTCCTGGGCACCCCACCTCCCGCTTGTTGCCGTGGCTTGGGCTCTCCCCGTCTCAGCCTGTCTCTCTTTCTCTCCCCCTCCCGCCCCATCTGGAAAATCTTGCTGTCCCCAAGTGCTTTTAATCACTGTCACTGCCCTTCTGGGCCCCTTTCTCGTCTGCTCTGTCTTTTGGGATGAGGTGCTGGCCCTGAAAGCAGGACTCCAGGTGAGGACCCACGGAGCCCCTGGCTCTCTGGTATGTTCCGTGGCTCCCTGCTCCCTGTCCCGCCACTCCTCTGTCTCCCCGCCTGTCGGTGGTCCCTGCCTGCCTGTGCCTCCCCACGCCCTTCCCCGAGGGCAGCGCCTGCGAACAGCCCTCCTGGGACGCCCCTGGTAAGTGCTCCGCTGGGGCAGTCGACTTGGGGCTCCTCTGTCGGGAAGCGCTCCCAGGGTCTCAGCCGCTGCACCTGGCTCCCTGGGGTGGAGGCACCAGGAAGGCCCCTGGGCGCTGTGGGGATGAGGGCACCCTTCCCTGGGACGCCCTCCTGCTGGACAGGTCATGGTGGGTGGTGTCCGTCCCCCTGCCTGGGGCAGCCACAGTCCCCTCTAGCGGCCACAGTAGGTGTTCAGGAAGCCTGTTACTTGGGTAACAAGCAGGGGTGTCTGTCCCACAAGATGCTCAGGGAGCTTGGCTCCCAACCTCTCTGCTGCCCCAGGCTCAGCCCTGCCGTGGGAGTCCGTGCCCCTCTGCTCCTGCCTGCCAGGACCTGGGCCGCATCAGCCACGCTCTCCAGTCCTGGTCCAGGTAGCCCAGGGTGCTTAGCCTGGCGATGGTGGCACACCCCTGATCTCTTGGGGTCCTCGGCTCCCGAGGAGACCCACGAGACTAGGCTGGTTGTTGGGGGTGGGGGTCGGGAGCCAGGGYAGGCGGGGGCTCTGGCCTGTGCGGCTCTGCCCCATTCTCTGTGGCCCTGTCCCCTTCCTTACTGCCTCCTGCCCCCATGCCTGTGGAGCCCTGTCCCCTAGCATTGCCCCTCGCCATGGGGGCCTCCCCTTCTTCCCAGGTGGAGGCATCTGTGTGTGGTGTCTGTCTGTCCTGTCTGGTCCTGGCCGGTGTCTGTGGGCATCTCTGCCCCCAGGGTGCCCCAGAACTCCCGTGGTCTTGCTTGCTGCTCCTGCCTATGGACTGGAGGTCTGATGGGCAAAGCCCCACTTGAGTGATGGGGGCAGGGAAGGGCCAGTGCCATCCTCAGGCCCAGGGGAGTGCACAGCATCATTCTGGCCTGAGTCGGGACCCTCAGCACCCCACTGAGCAGGGCTATTACTCAGGACAGCTGAGGCCCTGAGGAGGGGACCTCAGACCCTGCTGTCTATACAGGACTTGTGTGTAAGACACTGGGCACAATTCCTGAGTCCCCAGTGTCCAGTGGCCACAACATCAGAGTGTGCAGCTGCTGAGCATACTCTCCACTCCCCAGCACTGGGCCTCAGGGCCTGGAGGTGCATTGTGAGCCAAGTGCCCAAGGACTCAGAACTGGGGACTTACAAGGGTGCTGGGAACCAGGAACCTCCTTCGCCGTCCTTCCCCATGGGGTGGGAAAGGCCTCCTGAGGATCCTGGGCAGCAGCCTTGTGTTATGGCCTGAAGACCACAGTGGGCAGAGGGTTCAGGGCTTTGCTTGCTTGGCAGGCCTGGGTGCAACTGGGAATGAAGGCTGGCAGGGTTTCTGAGAGTGGTGGGGTACTGTGGGTACCACCTGGGGCCAGATGACTGGGTGCTCTGCTGACAATCCTCCTATAGCAGGTGGCCAGCACATGGAGTCCAGCCATGGCCCTCCATCCTCAGGGTGACTGGGGAGCCTCAGCCACCTCTCTACTTAGAAGCTAACCCATGTGAGGGCTTGGGTAGAAGCCCCTCCTGCTCAGAGTCTTGCTGGGAGACGTTCCGGGGCTGTTGGCCTGTCTGGGCAGCAGGTGCCCTTTGAGCAGGCTCCCAGCCAATCACCTACGAGTTAGTGAATTGCATCCTTCATGCCTAAGTGGAGAGAGTTGTGTGTGGGCAACACAGAGGGCCACCATCAGTGTTAAATAAATGTGCAAAGGGGAACAAGCCGGGCGATTTCCCCCTGGGGCATGTGCGCTTCTGACTTGAGGCCGTCGTTAACACTGGGGTCCCCAGGTGCCAAGGTGCTGTCTCAGAGGGACCTGGATGTGAAGGGGAAGCAGTGGCCTGGAAGAAAGGGAAGGATTTCTGTAATCGTGGCTACTTTCCGTTTTTATTTAAACACCTGAACGTTTGTTGGTAGAAATCAATCCAAGGGCACGGGGGAGGTTGTTGGGAAAGTTGAACTGAGGACCCTCCGCAGGCTGGAAGAGCTCTGCCTGCAAAGGGCCTCAGCACAGAGGCGCCTTGTGAGGTCCCAGATGAACTGACTCGGTGAAGAAAGTCCTTTTAAATCTAGGTGTCCCTGAGTCCCCYTTTCCTTGTCTTCCCTCCAGATAGGGGCAGCCACTGACTCCTGGGTAAACTGAGGCCACTTCCAACTGGGCGACAGACTGGCCTGTGGGAACCTCACGTTTTTCCTCCCTAGACTGCATGTTTCACTGGGGTCACTTCCAGGATCGTGTCCATCCAGAACCAGCTCTTTGCAAAATCTTAGCACGTGTATTATTTTTTATTGGCATGAATATAGCAAAAAATAATACATCTCTTAAGACATRAGCTCAAACTCTGGCTTTGGAAGGAAAAGGTATTTTTGGAGGAAAAAAAAAACCCACGAATTATTTTTCTCCAAAAATAGGGGACTATTCTCTTTTCCAGGCTGCGGGAGACTTTCGCCAGCAAATCCCTTTCGCTCTCCTTGCTCAGACGCAAACTCCCCCTGCAGCCGGGGGTCTGCGAGCCCAGAACCGCCCCCAGGGTGCTCGGGGCGCCTCAGGGTACCTGCTCGCTGGGTCCTGCTGCCGACCCCGGGACTAACTCTGCTCTCCTCATTTCCAGTAAAGGCAGACCGTGCAGAGGGTGCCTGTGTGGATGCTGCCCCGGACACTCTAGGTACCGCGCGATGCTGCACGGACTGGTGCCCCGCTGCACGCTCCTGCCCTCCCTGCTTATTAGAGGTTCGGACCAGCGGGCCGGCGCCTGCCCAATTCTGCCCGCTCCCTGGGGCCACAGACCCKGAGCGAGCGCAGGCGCCTCCTTCCGCCTTACTGACCCCGCCCTGTCCGAGGGCTGTTGCCTTGGAAACAGTTCCTGCCCTGGGCGAGTTTCCTCTGGCTGGTCAGTCTAGCACCTCTACTAGGCACTGAGGCCCATCCTTAGCGCCCTGCTGGGGGAGGCAGCTACTGTGTGACACCCCACCCCAGAGACAGAGGCCCTGGCTCCCCCTTCTGACTTACAGGTCTGGGTTAGGGCAGGCTGGAAACAGGACGGTGAAAGGCCCCTCCCTGCACCTTGACCACACCTTTCCTGTCCCTGTCTGCTGTTGGGTGTGTGAAGGCATCTGTCCTGCTTGCTCTGGGGGCCCCTTGCCCCTGGTCTTCCTCTCCTACCCGTCCCCTTCCTGGCTGGTGCAGCCCAGCTACCAGCAGGCAGCTGTGAGGTGCCCACCGATGGGAGCGCACCTTGTCCTGTGCATGAGGTCGGTCGGTGCCGGGCAGCATGCTTGTGCATCTGCATCCGTGCATGCTCCAGATCCTTCTCCACCGGGAGAGGCTGCAGGGTCGCCCCACCCTGCCCCACAGGGCCCCTCTGCTGCCTGTGTGTTCTGGAGGTGGGCGCTTGTGGGGGAGGCTGCAGCAGCCCAGGAAGGGCTGCTGAGGGAGGCGGCCTGCTCCGCCCTGGCTGAAGCTCTCCTGCTTGCCCAGAGTGTCTGTGTCCAGAGCGCTTCTGGCCACAGGTGGACCCTTGGGGCAGGGGCTGAAGTCAGGCTGCTTGGGAACCAAGAGGGTTTGGAAGTGTGGGCAGCAGGAGCCCCGCCAAGCTCTGCCCTGCTGTGTGTGTTCTCACAGAATGCCACCTGCCCTCCCTGGGCATCTTCTGTCCAGATGCAGGCTGGGTAGTTCTCTGTGGATGCCCGCTAACTGCATTGCTGAGCTGGACCCCTGTGTGCTGACCAGACAAGGGCCGTCTTGCCACTGGTTCCCACTTGAATCTCACCGAGAAGAGGGTGACAGGCAGGGACAGGCTGGCCTTGTTCTCTGTCCCAGGTTCTTCCTGCCCTGTAAATGCCAAAGCACCAAGCCTGACACACGAGGGGRCCCTGGCCGTGGGCAGTCTGGCAGGGCAGGTGGGGGGAGCTCTTCCTTTGTCCTGGCTTGGGAGGGGAGGCAGAGTCTCAAGATTCTTGGCTACCCTCCTGCCCAAGTTGAGGGAAGCTGGGTGGGGACCAAGTGTCCCCCAAGTGTCAAACCCACTGTCCCTTCCTCCAGCACCTCGCCCACAGGCCTCAGGTGGAAGCAAGGCTGAGAGCTGAGCTCTGCCTTCGTGGGTCTGGAGAGCCTGCTGCCTCTGACTTGGCGGGGAGGAAGAGACTGTGGGAAGGAGGTCGCGCTGGGGTTCTTGCCTAGAGAGGCCTGCAGCAGTGCCCCCCAGCCGYGCTTCCCGCAGCTCCGCGCAGCCCCTCTCTGGGCAAGGCGTGGTCTGGGTGGCGGAGGGATCTGTGCCTTGCGTCGCGGAGGAAGCAGGAATCTGATGCGCACCCTTGACACATTCCTGACCCAGGAACCCAGGAGGGTGTGGGGCACCGCGCTTCACTGGTGACTGAAGAGGAAGGGCCAGTTCCTTCCCCTCCCATCACTGCTGAGGCTGGAGTGGGAGGAGGGGAAGGGAGACCTTGGCTTCCCACGTGCCCTGGAGCCTGCCCAGAGGGGGCCTGGAGGGCTTGTTTTCCTGAGCTTGAAGTGGTTTGTTGAATGTGGAGGACGAGCCCATAGGAGGCAGAAGAACATTCCAGAAGCCAGAATCCTCCTGAGGACAAGTCTGGGTGCCCAATGGGCTTTGGTGCTCCTGTGGTCCCTCAGCCTGGGGTGGTCATTTATAAATGGCTCCAGCATCTGGCTCTCCCTGGACCAGTGGGGGTCTCTCTTGGGCTGGAGACCAGAAGGTCATCTGGGTCCTGGGCCCTACCCTTCTGTGTTGGYCTCAGTGGAAGCAGAGGCAGACTCAGGGCCAGTGTCTGAGCACCCAGATGCCAGTGGTTCCTGATACCGGACACAGGATGCCTCAAGACCACCCGGCCCTCTGCCCTTAGTGGGCTCTCTGTCTAGGGCACAGGCCCAGGGATTTCTTTCTCTGCCTCTTACTTAGAGACTCTTGAGCAGGCACAGGTGTTCTCTGAGGTTGTCTGCTGTCCAGGGGTGGGTTGGGGAGGGGACATGGGCTCTATCTGCGGTGTCCCTGCTGGGTGGACTGGGCTCTGGGACTGTCTTTCCTCCAAGGTGGTTACCTCTGCTGCCTGCTTCATGTGTCTCTCTGGCCATGTGTAGCAGCTGGGGCTGCTGTGGTGGGGGTGGAGTCAGAGACACTAGCAAGTGACACTGGGCATTGGGGCTTCCTCTTGGAGGCCTCTGAATTTCATCAGGCCTCCTTGATTGCTGTGCTCAGCAAGGGCCCTGCTGTAAGCCATCCTGGGAACCTGTGGCTCCCCATGGCTGGCACGAGCAGGTCCTATTCACCAGGACCTGCTCTCCTCTGGGGCGATGCGGAGTCACAGCAGAAGGAGAGAGGGCCTGTCCTGGAACCAGGGCCCGATGGTTCCCAGAAGGAAGACTGGAGGCCATGTCTGCCTGGAGCAGCCCTATCATGGACATCCATGTCTCCTGCTGCCTGGGGGACGTGGGAGCCCGTGAACACGGGTGTCTGCCATGTGTCCATGGTTACCAAGAAGTGCAAAGTCTAGGGAGGCCCAAAGACCTTCAAGTCTGGAGACAGCAGCCTGACTGGAAGGACTTTCTGGGAGTGGCCACTTCCTCATATCCTTGCAGCTGCCTCTGCCCGCCCTGGGGCTGGGGCTTGGGGGAGCAGGCCTGGGAATACCAAGGCCAGCTGGGGCACCTGGTCCCAGCTGTCTTCCCAGAGCAGATGTGTAGTTGTCCAGGTGTGAGCTGGGGAAGATAGGGCAGGCACTTAGAGGAGGCCAGGTGTGCCAGGGTCCATCAGGAAGGCTGGTGACTGGACAAGCATCTGCAGGAGCCTGGCCCCTGGCCCCAGCAAGCTGTATGGAGAGGGAGGGCTGCTCCTGGGAGTGTTGGGGGGGCCTGTGGGAAAGCTGCAGGCAGGGCTGGTGCAGACTGAAGGTCCCAGGGACGAGCCCCTCCCTGGGCACCTGGCCACTCTCTGGGTGTCACCTTGAGGGGATGGCAGGACAGTGTGCAGAAGGCTCTGGCACTTGGCGGTGGTTGCTGAGTGATGTGAGCCGGGGGGACACCTCCCCTCTCCCTGGCACGGCGCTCTGGCCATACCTGTGCGGCCCCTCCCTGCGCGCCCTGGCTTCCCCACGGTGTGGTATGTTCTTTGGACCTGAGTCTTCTCTGGTCTTGTGGGACAGCACTGGTCGCGAGCACACATGGCCCGTGTTCTTTCCGGAGTGACTTCTCTTGCTGTTTTTCTGTGTCTGTCTGTCTGTCGGTTCTCATGGGAGCAGCCAGAAGGTCAGTTTGAAAGACCGTGTCTTCTCCAGCCCCCGAGGCGTGGCCGCCAAGGGGAAAGGGTCTCCCCAGGCCCAGACGGTCCGACGGTCACCTAGCGCTGACCAGAGCCTTGAGGACAGTCCAAGCAAGGTGCCCAAGAGCTGGAGCTTCGGCGATCGCAGCAGGGCACGCCAGGCTTTCCGCATCAGGGGCGCTGCGTCCCGGCAGAACTCGGAAGGTGGGTCTGCAGGCTGGGAGCCTGCTAGGAGTGCCTTGAGCACGGCCGGCCGTAGGGCAGCGAAGCAGCTCTGCCGCAGGGAGGTTCCTACCCCACCCCAGGGGAAGTTCACGTAAAAGGAGCTGTTTTAACCACACTGCTCAGTGGCATTTCAAACCCTGGGGTTCGCCACCATCACCCCTGCAAAGGGCCCCATGCCCTCCTGCAGTTCCCTTCCACTCCCCAGCCCTGGCCACCACTGCCTGTTTGGTTTCTCTCCTGTGGGATCGTGCAGCTCCTGACCCACGGTGGCGGCTGCTCCCCTGAGCGAGGTTCCCAGGTGCAGCCATGTTGTCTCCTGTCAGAGCCGTGTTCCCCTAGTGGCTAGGCAACGTGCTGCATGTGGAAGGGCCACTGTGGTCAACTGCCTCTGTACCAGGGAGGCCCTCTTAAGCCCTCACACCTGTGGGAGAGGAAGGGCTGCAGAGAGGCGTGATGGGCAGGTCTGCAGTGTGAGGGGCCTGGTGGCCATGACCACTCACATCTGCACATCCTTCCACCTAGAAGCAAGTCTCCCTGGGGAGGACGCAGTGGAGGACAACAAGAGCTGTACCTGTGAGTTCGTGACCGAGGACTTGACCCCTGGCCTCAAAGTCAGCATCCGAGCCGTGTGGTGAGGGACCTGCATGACCCCCCTTGGTGCCCATGCAAAGCCCCTCTGCTGGGCCTCCCCTTCGGTGCTGGGCCCTGGCCACTGAGTTCACAAAGTGGGTGTTGAAGACACGGCCTAGGTGCAGTGGGGGCTGAGGCAAGGAGGTCGGGAGCTGCTCGGCTGGCAGGTCCAGGTAGACGAAGGTTGTCTGTGATGCCGGGCACTGAAGTGGCTGGTGAGGGGCCCTCCAGCACCCACAGTTGCAGAGGTGCCGGGAGGGTGACAGGCTGGTGGACACTGGGGCCAGCGTGTTCTCTGGCTCAGAGCTCATGGTTCTGCCTGGCCATTGCAGTGTCATGCGATTCCTGGTGTCCAAGCGGAAGTTCAAGGAGAGTCTGCGGCCCTACGACGTGATGGATGTCATCGAGCAGTACTCCGCTGGACACCTGGATATGCTGTCCCGCATCAAAAGCCTGCAGTCCAGGCAAGAGCCCCCACCTGCCTCCCAGCCCAGGACCTTCGAGGGCCTTCTGGGCCAAAGCCCAGGGCTGGCTAGAGGGCTCCTGGGGGCCAGCCCGGGAGGGTGCAGGGCAGGAGCAGTGCTAAGGTGGGCCTCCCACCGCCGGCGTCTGCCAGCTTTCTGCCCTGTCTTCGCAGTCTGTCTCTAATATTTTTCTGTCTCCCCTCTCTCCCCCGACTTCCCTGCACTGTGGTGGGCAAGTTTTGTGTGTGTGTGTGTGTGTGTGTGTGTGCGCACGTGCACATGCACACTCACATGCATATCTGTGCACATGCATGTGTGTGTGAATGTGCACATGTGAGGGTCTCTGGATGAGGGTGCACACGTGTATGTGTAGGTGCATGTGTGTGTGCATGTGTGTGCCCATGCATGTGTGTGTGATGTGCGGGTGTGTGCACGTGTGCCTGTGTGCTGTGCCGTGTATGCACACGGATGAATTGGTGCATACACGTGTGTACACATGTGCACGCGTTGGGAATGGAGTTTCCCTCGGAGAGATGACTCTGCCAGGCAGCACACACTGCCACCCCTCTTCTTCAGAACGTGATTGTCCACCCATTGTAAAGGAGTTGCCCCACTTCCTGAGTGCATCTAGGCTTGGTGGTAGCTGGGCACCCACTGGTGTCCGTGTGGAGAAGAGGCTAGCTAATTCCTGGAATTCCATGTATCACAGCATGAATGGGGGCCTGAGCACACACATGCACAGGTCTCTGCACATGGGCACACAGGTCCACATTCTGGCCTGTGCTCTAGCCTACACCCCCCCAGGGTGCTCACAGCCAGTACATGCACACCTGTGTGGCCACACATGTGGTGGCACCTGTAGGGAGCCACATGCTGCAGGAGTTTCTCCTGAAGGAGGTCCCAGACTCTACTGGTGGGGTCCTCCCCATCCAAGGCTTCCAACAGAGGCTGTGGCTGCTTCCAGCCTGGAGGTGCAATGGGGTCCAGCTCACATGGAGAGGGTCTGGACAGTGAAGGGCAGCCGGGAGGCCATGGCAGCTCTGATGGGGAGGTTTGGCCTCTCCTGCTTCAGGTGACAGTGGGGCCTCTCAGGCCTTAAGCTACTCCCAAGATGGGGTTCAGGGAGGCATCTCCTCCTCTGCTGGGCTTAGGCTGGGCCTCTCCTGGCCTTCCCAGAGCAGACTAACTAACAGCTGGGACTCTGTGCCTCTCCTGCCCATGCTGGTCAACTGCCTGGTCAGCTGCCTGCTCAGCAGGTCCTTCCATCCATCTTTCCCCCTCTGCTTCCCTGTCTGTCTGAAAAACAGACCAGTCGGCTTGGGGAAGCCGGACGGCCCTCGTCAGTGATGCCCCATTCATGCTGTGCAGCCTTGCACCTTCTCTGGGATTTGACTCCCAGCACATGCACCCATTTCCATACCTACCTGAGCTCCCTGGTGAGGCTGGGCTGCCCACAGACCAGCTCCTGGAGCGAGCCCTGTTCAGCATGCCCAAGGGCCATGCGTGCGGCCAGCCCCTTTCTGCTGGGCACACAGGTTCCTAGGAAAACCGCTGTGGTCTGAGTGGGGCTGTCCCATTGCTGAGCTTCCAGTGACCCCTCTTGAGCTGCGTGACGATGCGTTTTGCTGGTGTCTCTTTTCTTGTTTACGCTGCCAGGATAGATATGATTGTGGGCCCCCCACCCCCTTCAACTCCCCGGCACAAGAAGTACCCCACCAAAGGACCCACGGCCCCTCCGAGAGAGTCACCCCAGTACTCACCTAGGTTAGGACGCCTCATCTCTTCCCAACCTGTCTTGTGAACGGCCAGTGCCTTCGCTCCAGGCCACATGACGGCGGCACCGCAGACTGTCCTTTCCTCAGGACAGAGGGCACGTCCAGGCTTTCTGTTCCTGCAAGTGCCCTGCACAGGGGAAGGCTCTCTCACCAGGGCCCCCAGGGGCAGTGAAGGGAGTCAGGACTACCCAGTGCCCTGCAGTCCTCTTGGGGCAGCCAGGGCTCCTCTCTGTGGGTGTCCTTGTGAGGTCCACCTGGGGCTGGGGGACTCCTGGGCAGAAGCAGAGGACATCAGTGGCCACACAGGTGCTTCCTTGCCTGGCTGCAGACCTGCCCTCCAGGCTGAGGCCCTCCCTGGTCTCCCTGGGCACTGAGTCAAGCCCCCCAGACCTGCCTGTGACTGGGCCGACCCCGGACACACCTGGCTGACCCTGGGGCTGTGTGCTCTGAGCAGCTGAGGCTGCTTCCCAGGCACAGCAGCAGACTCTGGTGCCTGCCTCTCACAGTTAGGAGGAGAAAACGAGGGAGCCTCTGCCAGGCACCACGGCGGGTGCTCCAAGTGAGCTCTGGAGTTACTTCAAGTTGTGGTCATGGTCATTAATAGTGATAAGGAAGACGGCAGGACTGCCCCCCCCCCATCTGACAGGCAGAATGGAGGTCAGGGAACAGCCAGATGGCACACTCAGGCTCTTCAGGGGTCCAGGGAGACCTCCATGGCCTCTGGCTTCCTCTGACTCCAACAAGTCAGACAGGCCAGCGAGAGAGAAGCCCCTGGGGCAGGCCAAGAGGACAAACAGGGCATCTGGACAGAACTGACAGGCACAGCGTCTGTCTACCCCCTTGGCCAGGGTGGCTGCCCAGGAGGCTGAGGTTCATTGTGCTGGGCTTCTTCTCAGCCCAGCAGCTCTGATCATGAGAGAGTGAGACCCAGGGAGCAGGCAAGGTGGTGTCTGCTGCATCCTGACTCGGGGTGGTCCCTGACAGTACCTGCTGAGTCCACTGCTTGGCTGCTCTCTAAGACTTAAGCCTTGTCCCTGGGGCATTGCTGCAGGAGATGGTGCCTGGGAGTCCAACCAGTGAGCCAGGAAGGCCCTGCTGGCCCTCAGACCTCTCAGACCATTGCAGCCAGGGACCTTCAGGTTCACCCCAGGGGCATTGAGCATGTGGGGCTGAGTCCAACTCCGCGCAGCTGAGCCCAAGAGGAGGAGGAGGCAAGGTGGTTCAGGGTCCTTGGAAGACCCTTTCCCAGATGCCGCTGCAGCAGTTCTAGGCTGAGCCCTGGGCTGAGGCTCCTGTTGGGACCCACCAGGCAGGCAGCCCGTCATGTGGCCGGGGTGAAAGTGCTGTGCATCTGTGCCTGGACTATGTGACACGGGAACACCAGGGCCCGCCCCCTCCATTGCCATGGCGTCTGCTTGGAGCCAGAGGCCCCCTCCCCTCGTGCATGAGTCTAGCATGAAGCCCGTGGAGCATGAGGAGGCTGCATCTGGCTGCCGCAAGTCTGGCCCTGTTCTGTTTCATGTGACAGAAGGAATATGCCCGGCTCCAGAGAGGCAGGCAGGGCATTCCTGCCTGCAGAAAGCAGCTGGGCGTTCTTTGTGCACAGGCTGCTGTCCAGAGCTAGGTGGGCTGGTAGCCTTGGCCTGGGTTGGTCCTGCTCAGTCACCCTGTCCTGAGCTGCCGTTAGCCCAGTGGGGTTTGTAGGCTCAGCCAGCATAGCATCTTGGTTTCTGAGTGGGTGTCCCACAGCTGCAGTTCTCGGCCCACACCTACTCCCCAGCCCCTGCCAGCCCTGCAGGACTCACTGTGGATCTGTTCAACAGGAGCTGGTCTCCAAGGGTGAAGGAGCCTCCTTCCCTTCTTATGGCATCAGTGACCTAGGGCCTCATTCAAAACCAGCTCGGCTGAATTCYGCATCCTGCATATGAACACACACGCAACGCACTCTCACTTGCATACATGTCCATGTGCACACCCACTCACACACATGTGGACACATGTATGATACGTTCACATGCATACACACCCACATGGATAGCCTCTACACACATGCTTGTGAACACATGCCCAGACACATGGTCATGAGCACATAGATGTATGAGCACGTGTACAATGCACTCATACCCATGCACACCCATGAATGTGCACACATGTACAATGCACTCACGTGCATGAGCACACCCATTCTCACACATACACACACTGGTTGGTGGCGGCTTGTCCCAGCCCTCCTCTGGTTGTGTGGCTCTCTTCCCTTTATCCTTGTCCTGGTGCATGGAGCTGCAGCCCTCACCGCCTCCTGCTTTTGTTGTCCCTGCTGCAGACATCTAACTGTCCCTGTCAGACCCTGTTGGGGTCAAGGGCCTCCGTGGCACATTATGTAGGAGTAAAGCTCAGGGGTGGGATGGCTGTGGCTTCTGGAGCAAGGGCACATCACGCCATGCTCCCAACCTCTGGCTGGATGCCCACCAGCTTCCCTGACTTCTGGGCCTCAGTGTGCTGGGAGGCCAAAAAGCCACAGGCCAGGGAGGAGAGGGAGCTGGGTGGGCAGGTGGGATGGGGGCCCGAGGGAGGACGGGGACTCTGCTGCAGAGGAGCTGGGGTGGACTGGCCCCAGGGGAAGCTCCTTTACTTTACTCCTCTTAATGTGCCAGACCCCACTGGAATGGAATGGATAGGAACAGGACCCTGACGGTGTCAGAAGGCAGGCAGGAACGTGAGGCACCAGTGTCCGTCTGTCCTGGCACCTACTGCCCCCTGGTCAGCTCTGGGTTGGGCCTGGAGCCCAGATCTGGGGGCTGTGGGCTGACCTGGGTGGAAGGGGCAGGGGCCAAGCCACATCCTCCTGAACTCATGCTTGGGGGCCGGGTCTCTGTTCCCGGTAGAGTGGACCAGATCGTGGGGCGTGGCCCGGCGATCACGGACAAGGACCGCACCAAGGGCCCTTCCGAGGCGGAGCTGCCAGAGGACCCCAGCATGATGGGACGCCTGGGCAAGGTGGAGAAGCAGGTGGGAGGGGCTGGACCAGGCCTCTGCTGTAGGGGACCCTTGCTGGCTGGGGCGGGAGGGGAGGAGCGGGTGTGGCCCCTGCTGTCGGAGCCTCCCTGTTGGCCAGGAGGGGGCTCYGCTCTTCAAATCCACCGTGTCCTGGTGGAGGGTATTTCTGGAGTCAGCACTTAAGTCAGAAGTACCCAGAGTTTATGTTCTTCCCTCCATGTCCTGGGTGGGGTAGCTGGGAGGCAGGATTTGCATTTGAGGGTCCCGTGGGGGGAAGGGATTAATCTGCTGTAGAACTTGTCAGAAGTCACACCTCTCTGCCTTTCCTCGCCTCTGGCCTTGCGACCCTACCCCCACAGCCCTCTTCCTGGGGGTGGTTCATCAGAAACCATCACACCAGGCCCTTGGGTCTGCTGGGCCTCAAACTGACTGGTGGGGTCGGAGGCAGCTGCTGAGTCCGGGTTGAAGGAGGGGCAGCTCCGGCCCCCCTCGCCCCTCCCGCTCTCCCTCCATGTCCCGGAGCCGCCCTGGTCCCGGAAGCCTGGTCCAGCGGCAGCACCCTCTTGCAGGTCTTGTCCATGGAGAAGAAGCTGGACTTCCTGGTGAGCATCTACACGCAGCGCATGGGCATCCCGCCCACAGAGACCGAGGCCTATTTCGGGGCGAAAGAGCCGGAGCCAGCGCCGCCATACCACAGCCCCGAGGACAGCCGGGAGCACGTGGAGAAGCAGGGCTGCATCGTCAAAGTCGTCCGCTCCGGCAGCTCCACTGGCCAGAGGAACTTCTGCGCGCCCCCCGCCCCATGCCCGCCGTCCACCTCGTGGCAGCAGCAGAGCCACCAGCGCCATGGCACCTCCCCCGTGGGGGACCACAGCTCGCTGGTGCGCATCCCGCCGCCGCCTGCCCACGAGCGGTCGCTGTCCGCCTACAGCGGGGGCAATCGGGCCAGCACCGAGTTCCTGAGGCTGGAGGACGCTGCGGTCTGCAGGCCCCACGAGGCCGCCCTGCGGGACAGCGACACGTCCATCTCCATCCCGTCCGTGGACCACGAGGAGCTGGAACGTTCTTTCAGTGGTTTCAGCATCTCCCAGTCCAGGGAGAACCTGGACGCCCTCAGTGGCGGTTACGCGGCTGCGGCGCCCTGCGCCAAGGTCAGGCCCTACATCGCCGAGGGCGAGTCCGACACAGACTCGGACCTCTGCACGCCCTGCGGACCTCCGCCGCGCTCTGCCACGGGGGAGGGCCCCTTTGGCGAGGTGGGCTGGGCCGGGCCCAGGAAGTGAGGGCGCAGGACCCGCCCACGCGCTCTGCCTGTCCCTTTTGGGGGCGTGAGCTCTGCGGGTCTCTTCTGGAGTGACGTGCGCTGTGGGGCACCTGTGGGGTGTCAGGCCCACTTGCCGGTGCAGGCAGCAGGGCTCCTTGGCTGGTGCAGTGACATTTTGCAAAAGTTCTTTTCCAACCAGGGGCTGAAGGAGCACCCTGCAGCAACAAGCTGCTCAGCAGGGACAGACCTGGCCCGGCTAGTGAGGGGGGGCTAAGTGACCAAGGGGGCATGGCTATGGGGGTGTGGGCCGGCAGCAGGGCCCAGGAGGGTGTGGCTGGGGCAGACTTCCCCCTGACAGTGTGGCCTTGAGTTCTGGGGGGTGCCTAGAGAGGCCTTCAGTTCAGGAGGGTGTGACAGGCCACTGGGCATGGCCTGTCCTGGCACCTGACCACTTGTCCCCAGGTTCCTCTGTGTGTGAAGAGCTGGGCAGGACCCCCACCCCTGGGTGCCTGGCTGGAGAGCTGCCGGCCAGCATCCCCGACCCCTGCCAGCTCCGTGGGTCTTGCCAAGGGAGCCGGTTGGAGTTCAGGACCCCTTGCCTGGAGCTGAGAAAGGAGTGAGGCCTTGGGGACAAAAACCAAGCCCACAGTCACTCTGGACCCTCCTGAAAGGCCCACCCTGCAGCCTCCCCAGATAGGGAATTTCAAAGTTCCATCTGCCCTGACCCGGGGTCTCCCAAGCCCACAGGAGCCACGGCTTCCCAGCCACAGGAGTTCTGGGTGAGTCCCCATGATGATGTGTCCTTTCTCCTCACTGCCCTGGCTGGGTGCTGGTCACCAGGCTGTGGCTAGCCCTTTGAGCAACCCACACTGTCCTTAGCCAGGATTCACCCTGCTGGTCCCGCACCTGTGCTCCCGCAGACCAAGGCAGGGCTGGCTGGGGCCATCGCTGGGCAGGAGAGCCCTTTGGTCAGCTGGCTCACCCACTGCAGAGGGCTGCTGTGTGTTCTTCCCACTACAGCTGGCCACCCCGGTCATACTCTCCACTGGTGGGTGCCTGGCTATGGCCTCCCAGTGTTTTGGGAGTTGAGACATCCCTTCCCTGGGCCCTAGTGAGCAGGGACCTTGCTCCCTCCTGCCTGGGTGCCTTGGCCCACTGGGTATTCACTTTAGGGGCCTGTGTCCAGCCACCAGGAGGCAGAGGGGGATGTTCTGGTCCTGTGGCCTGGGGCCTAGCAGCCTCTGGCATTCTGGCGATGGCACCCCCAGCTCTTGTCTGGAAGGAGCCCTCTTGCCGGCTGGAAGAACTTTGAAGCAGGGTTAGGGGTAACATGCCCCTGGCCATTGGAGGTCCTGGGCACTTGGGGACCTTGGGAAACTGTCATCAGCAGTGGGTTAGTGGCTGTTGCAGCCTCAGTGCCCCTGCCAGGGCACCCAGGAGCTACCTGGGGCACACGGATGGGCTGCCTGTCAGGAGCCACAGACACATTCTCCTGACAGATCCACATGGCACTGTGGTTTTTCAAGGACGGTATCATGTGGCAGAGAGCCCTCCAGTGGAGAGAAATGTCCCTTCCAGTGTGGGTGGCCACCCAACACCAATTCCTCTGGCTACGTCAGGCCTCGGATCTGAGTCCTCCTTGGTGTGGCACAGGGAGGTTCCAGCTGGGCCCACTGGCAGGAGGACAAGGTCAGCCAGCCCTAGCCCACTCCCTGCTGGGGCCCAAGGTCCCAGGATGCTCTCAGCCTGTGCAGGCCCCAGGACCTGGGGGAGGGACTCTTTCCCTGAGGGAGGTGTGTTCCTGCCTTACCTGTGGCAGCATGCTGTGTGCCTCAGACACAGTGGGCACCTGAGGTTCCAGGGCTAGGGCTCTGCAGGGTGAGTATGGCAGACAGTGGCCTCTCTAGAAGCCCAGCCACTCTGCAGACAGCAGGATGACATTCCTTAGGTTGCAAGAGGAGGGGTAAAGGCTACACTCTTGGCCACTCTGCATCAGGGAGGAGGGTTGGTGTCCTGCCATTCAGTCTGGCCCCTGGGGAAGGGAAGGTGTTGGACTCTGTGGGATGGTCTAGGGGCCCATTCTAGGCAATGAAAGGTAGAAGCTCCTTCTTGGGCCTGCAGACCCAGGCCTGAGCAGCACAGCTGTCCACTGCCCCTGGGCAGCTGTCTTACCCTTAGAGAAGGAAGCTGGAGGTTTGTGTGAGAAAGGTGTGCACTTTCTTGGGGCCAGTGGCCACCCTGTGGCCCACGTTTCCTGAGACAAGACATTGTTAGAGCATGCATACCCATGTGCCCACGTGCCCACATACAGGTCTGCATAAGACTCTCCTGCATGCTCACAGACCACGCACGCCAGATGCACACTTTCACACACACAGGAGATGTGCACTCACATGGACACACAAAACTCACATGTGCACACAAGTGCAAGCTCACAGCAGGTGCACTGTCACATATACTCACATATAAAGCACATTCACAGGCAGCACATGTACATATACAACCACATGTGGCCAGTACACAATCATGCCCACACATGCTCACACACATGCACATGTAAGCGCACAGTCCGCGTGTGCAGACACATGCACACACCCACCACGACTCCGACTTGGGCTGCCCTTTGTCTCTGGCCTTTTTCTCTTTGACTTTTCCTGATTTAGGCTGCCCAGGGAGGGAGCCACAGGAATTAATGACTTTACACAGAAGGTTCTAGAATRCTGAACACTAGGTGGGGGTTCCCACTGTCCAAGGCTCCTGGACCAGTGCCAGAGGGGCCACCTTGAGCCCATTAAGGGCCCCATGCTGCCTTCTCCCTGGGCTGGCTGGGCAGCTGTCCAGCACTTGTGGCCTGCTGAAGGCCTAGGGAAGCCAGGTGGGGACCGGGGGTTCCAGCACCCTCTGGTGTCCAGACCTGTTGGGGACCGGGGGTTCCAGCACCCTCTGGTGTCCAGACCTGTTCCAGCTTAGCTGTGCTGGCCACCTGTGCCATTCTTAGACATGGCTTGGCCTCGTCACCCCAGGTCCTGTCTCAAACAGGTATTGCATGTCCACCATGACATTTCTGTCCCCCTGGTCACAGACTTCGAAGTCCACCCCATCTGCAGTGGCTGGGACACCTGGAGGGCAGGCCACCTTCTCCCACCTCCTGCTCTAGGCAGGGAAGGTGGCAGGGCCACACCAGGTTCTCAGGAAACCTGTTTAGGTGGGGAGGTGGGGATCGTCCCCGATGCTTCCTGAAGGCAAAATGGGCCGAGGGCTGGGAAGCCTTTTGGAAACACTGGGGTGCGTTTGGGCCACCCCGGCTGTAAGTGGTGTGCAGAGTGGAGGCTGTGGATTTGTGATGGATCTGGGCCTGCACAGCCAGCAGATGACACTTCAGCTGCCCTCCATGGTCACAACCCTGTAAAGCAAACATGGTGGGGGTGGACAGCACAGCCCATTCAGAGTAGACTTAGAGGGTCTGGGTCGTCTTGTGTCCCAGCAGGGCGGGCTGGCTTCTGAGTGAGAGGCTCTGCCCATGGCCCTGTGGGGCCCCAGTGCACATGGCTGGGGCAGACCTGGCACGGCCCTCAGCACCCTCAGCCATGGTGCAGACTGCCTGTCCTGTGCCAACCTCCTGGGCTACCTGCTTATGTATGGGATGTGAGCTGTGAGGTACAGAGGGCTGGGCATGGCCTCAGGGTCCACAGGCCAGAACTGCTGCCCAGGCCAGCTGCTCTGGTTCTGCCTGGGCCCCAGCTGAGGCCCAGAACCACCAAGGAGGGGAGGTGGTGGTGGGGGCTTCCCTACTCAAGGGCAAGACCCCACTTTCTCTCCCCTCTCTGAGATTGAGCTCCTCCAACTGCACACCAGTTATTCTGTGTGCCCAGAGCCAGAAGGAAGGGGGACGTGGTTTGCTGTCTTGTGAGTGGGGCTAAGAACCAGCTCAGGAAGAGGAGGGGGAGGGAGAGGGCAGCGGAGGGAAGGTGCTCCGTGGGAGGTGAAGCCCTTGCAGTTCTGCAACCTTGGTGCCCACAGCAGGGTTGAGTGAGCACTTGTTGCTGGCCTTATACCCTGGCAGACCCAGGGTGCTGAGTCTCAGTGGCCCTGCCCCAGACTTCTGCAGTGTCAGACCCTCTGTCTGGGGCCGAGAGGAGGGAATGGTTCCTGGGTCTCCTGGGCAGGAGGGCCCATGGCTGAACGCCGCACATCTAACTTGGACTGGGTTATACAAAGTCGTTGCCTTAAAAGCATGGTTGACAGAAACTCCCTGAGGTCAGCCCAGACCCCTGGCCTCTGTCAGGCWTGGACACCTGGGCCCCGCCTCTGGGTCAGGCAGCATGGGGCAGTCGCGAGCAGCAGAGGTCTCTCGGTTGCCTCATGCACAGGCGCTCGCGTTGGCTGTCCCTTTTGCTGCTGCCATCCGCCCAGGCCAGCCTGGTGCACCCCATGCCCGCACCCATGCGCTGCAGTCTGTCTGGCCAGGGTGGCTGCAGCTCCCCACGCACCCTCCCGCCATCGGCCGCCTTTGCACTTTTGTTCATGCTCCAAAGAATTCTTCATGATGCCTTTGTGCTGACGCGCACCTCTGCCCACTGCGTGCACCTACGGACCGCGGCCTCCACCCTGCTCGTTTGTGAATGTGCTGCCGCTGCACACTCGGAACTAGAGCTTGTGCCCCATCTCCTAGGGACAGACACCAGGGGACAAGCACTGGTCTTCTAACGGATTAGCCGAGACGCCAACTCAGCACGGACAGGTTGATGCTTGTGTTACATGAATGGGCCAGCTCAGGCTTGCCCAGGGGACTCTGGGTGCAGAATCCCACGCCAGGGATGCACATAGACAGTTCTGGAAAGTTCTGCTGCCATGGGGCCAAGTCCAGATGCCCAGTGGGCCTGTGCACTTAATAAATGCAGTGATTCAACCTGGATTGAGTGGCCTCTTTGTTCTCCTGCCTTGTGCTGCTGGTTGGAGAGCTGGGGACATGGCTGGGAGGAAGCCCTCTCCCCAGCCCTCGGCCCTAAGCCCTGGGGCTGCCTTCCAATGCCACAAACCAGGTTGCTATTATTCCCTGGCATTCTGGAGGCCAGAGGTCTGAGTCACCATGACACTCCCTGTTCCTGGGCTGCTTCTAAAAGTCTTCCTGCCTGTGACCTAGACCCCACAGGGCCCTGGAGGAGCACAGGTGAATAAC